ATTATTATTATTATTAATTATTATTATTATTATTACTAATGTTATTGTCATTGTTATTATTATTATTGCTGTTGTTGTTATTGCTATGCAAAATATATTGAAAAAAGCATCGAGAAAGTTGAAAAATTTAATTTTATAAACATGTTTAATTTATACTTTCCATACCGTCTAATTGTTAAGTTCAAGTGGAAATTTTGATTGAAATATCAGGGAATAAGTAAAATGTATTATACGATAGGTTATTACATGATAATATTTACATACATAATCTGTAGTAATAAAATTTTCCCTACTTGTAATAAACTTTTAATCATCATTGGATAGATAATACGTATGTTAACATATATTTAGGCGTATGGTATTATTGTCAAGATCAGTTTTATCATTTATATTAAGAAGATAGATGATTTCTGAAATTAAATTAAAAGAGGATATATGTTATGGGATTATTTGGAATTTGATGAAATAAACTTTTAGATTAAGTTTCAACTTTATACTTTCTTCTTATTGACTAGTTTTGTAATAGTTTGATATCAGAGAAATTATTATGAATTAATATCAAAAATTTTTCCAAATAATATCATAAAGTTTACTCTTATGATGCCATCAAATTAGGATAGCTTATTGAAAAATAAGATGAGAAAAGCTAAACATATAAATTAATCCAATAAATTAATCCTAAAACCGTTAAGAGCAAAATGTATTAAATGTTAAAATTTAATGCTATCCTTAATGAAATGATTAATAAATGATTGAAATGAAATACCTGTGTGATGGCGGAGACAGCAGCAACGGTGCTACTGACACCATTGAGGATTGTGGATGTAGTATTTAATCCTTCACTAGTCATCGACCAAAGGATACCGTTTAAAAAGGAGGAGGCGAGTAGTTCAGTGAATTATACTTTACTTAGTTAGTGGTTGGTAAGAGTCCACAGATTTAATTTGTGAATGTTGTTAGCTTTCGGCTTCTTTTTTGTTGCTAATATTATCTGACTTGATGGTGTTGGTGGTTGATGGGATGACGGTAATGGATGACGTAACTGCTGTCACGTTAAACAAATTTGATAATGAAAGATTGGAATGATGATGATGATGATGAAGACGATTGATGATAATGATGATGATGATGATGATAATGATGGCGGTGAATGATGGTGATAATGATGATGATGATGATATTATATAATTACAGTAAATAAATTTTGGGACAAGTGGTATGACAACGGGGATAACTTGGTTTTCTGCCTTCGAACACGATCACAGTTGACATACACATGGATAGACATATACGCACCACTTTGCACTCCTGCAAAGTCTTTAATACTTTCAGGCCTATATGGACACAGAAGAGGGAGAAAATGGCCTTAAAGCTATTACTAACTATGGAATAGGAGGTGAACGGCTTGATTAAGGGGTTGAGAGGGGGGGGGGGAGATACGGGGAAGGTGGAAAAAGGGCCTATGTGAATGCCTTACAAGCTATTTACACTCTTTCTTCTCCTCCTCCTCCTCCTCTTCTTACAATCTCCCTCTTCTCAATCCTTGAAATTACGAATGGTGCGCACACTACGACTACCTCAGATGACAACATGAATTATAGCTTTATTGGATTTACTGCCTCTACCTATTCTTACTTCGGGATACGGTATTCCTCTTCCCCATATCCTCTAACAAACCTCTTTCTCTTTTTAGTTCTTTTTCAACATGCTATCCAGTTAAGTTAGCATAGGCTTTTTGAAGTTCTAGCTAACTCATCAACATCTATCCTCATAGCCTTCCTATGTTGTCAAGCAGCTGGCCTGATTGCTTTGGCTAGTTTGGGCTTTTATGGCTTGCTCCTACGAAATGATTTGATTATAGGCTGATGAATGATAAAGAAGTAGTGGTATAGAGAGAGAGAGAGAGAGAGAGAGAGGAGGAGGAGGAGAAAGAAAGAAGAGGAGGAGAGAGAGAGAAGAAGAGAGAGGAA